TATGACTTACTAAATGTTATCTAATATCATATGTGAACCCATCCTATCACTATGGTTTGCATCATCCATTTAGAAATCAGAAACTGGTTGTACTTTTGCGTGAAGTGCTTCGAAATCCTTGTGAAGAAAATTATGTAGAAATGAGTAGCTATTATCGTTATAGCAATGATAGTAATTCTGACACTGCAGCTTGTGTTCTCTGGAAATTTCTCTGAAATCTCTTTCTTCTTTTACAACTAATTGTTTTTTAAAACTCTTCCTTCACTTACCATGTCCTGCTTCCTCAATGCTATGTGGTATCTATCTCTTCTCTCCCTCTTGATACTTGGAAGGCCCCCTGAATTCAGTTTAATAACCTACTCTGAAACGTCACTATTTCCAAATTTCCTCCAGGGAATCATCTTGGAAATCAACATATTATCCTAAGGATGTCTCACCTGCCAGTGTTTTGGTGAAGAACAGATGAGGATAGTCCCTTGACACTTCCTAGTGAGAACTGAAATAGCAACAAGATCTATGTCTGCAATTGCCATTTATTCCTCCACATGAAGCCACTGACTATTTCAGTTCAGCAGGGCTGACAGCATTTGGAATTTTGAAGCTCTGCTGTGAGAGTAGTAACCACAAGATTAAAAATGAAATAGGTATAATTCAGACCTCGAGCTAGCCCTGGAGTGAGGGTACTCAGCAAAGTCAGCTAGGATGGAAGGAAAAAAAAATATGATATTCCGTCCACTTCACCTCAGTTTTCCAAAATTTTACTATATTTTTTTTTTCAGTTTTAGCTACTTGGGGTTGATTGTATGTGTCATGCTGCCTGAAACTTGCACAGAAAAACTGGCATCTATTTTCATCCATCCAGCCAGTGTATTTGACAATGCAGAATACTCAGAGGCAAGAGAGTGTTCCACATGTTTATCATTCAAGTGTACCTCCTGGGTACCTCTCATTTCTGGATTCTTGACCTGCTTTTTAATCTTTCTGGTAGGTGCTCGTCTTGAATAATTTGTTCTAGTCAATACCAAAAATTTGAAACTTACAATTAACTTCCTGGTAGGACTCATAAGTCCATGTGTATCCTGAGAAGAGATTCTAAAAGATGCCTAAATGAGGATTAATTTTTTTTTCTTCTAATTAATCATCCTTTATACCAATTAACTTCCCTTTATTTCTGGAAGAAGGCAAATGTAATCCAATCTGAGAATAGCAGTTCTCAGATTTTTTTTTTTTTTTTTTTTTAGTTCTCAGATGTTAAAAAGGACCCGGTTACTTTATTATATCAGCTTCTGCTCTGAAGTCAACTTTAGAAAATAAAGCACTAAATCATCAAATTGGTATTCAAGGCCTTTCATAGAAGGCTTCAGGTCTCTGTTCCAGCATATTCCCCAGCATAAGCTCCCACTACCCAAATGGATGGATATTTGCTGTCCATAACTTGGGCTTGCCTTACTTGTAATTCTGCCTATATTATAACTACTCAGCAGATCTCTCCCACTTCAACCTCCAAAAGCCAGTTGAACTCCTGCCTCCCTGCTCAAATCATTCTAGTCCAATGCAATATTGTCCTCCTTAGAATCTACCCTCCTTATTTCTGGTAACATTCATTGGGCAAATTATCATGTATTCCCTTAATGATTTTTCTTCCACTGTTTCATTGCATTTCATTCTGGTATTATTTGTTAATTTTTGTTGTTTATTGTTTTTACTAAGATTACTTCCGGCTAAACTTACTGAGGTCAAAGACCATATAAGCATGAGACTTTATATCCTCTGTGGGGTTCATTTATGTTTCTGGTGCTCACTGATTGGTCAATATCTTCCTATCAGGTTGGTCCTTGCTGACAAGGGATGACACTGCAGAAATGTATCTACGCTGAAGCTGACAACACCAATTTTCTTACCTTTATAGAATTGAAAAGCATTTGCATAATATGAGAAAAATAGTTTATTCATAGTACATCATATAAAAAGCAGATTTATCTATTTTTATCCTTCATGTCTCCCCTCTCAACCTCTTTCTCAAGTTATCTCTCATTCTACTAATCATCAAAACCTACATGTTCTGCTGAAGGCTGCCTGCTATGGGAAGAGGTGCTACTGGCAGAAATATGTCTGCTGGCTGATAACCATCACTCTGGGGTTAACACCTAGAGTTTAGGAATGTCTTTAGGCAAGCTAATTAAGAAGCAGTTTATTGTGTCTGTGCATGTGTGGTTGTGCATGTTTAACAAAGTAGGAATAAAATTGTAAATTCTTGGGGGATTTTACCAGGGAGAGGTTAAGATTATAAATGGTTTCGTATTCTGAATGCCGAAGTGATAATGCAGAAAATGCCAATGCACAAACAAGCAGGTACCATCAGAGGATCTACATGAATGTTTCCTGGCACATCCTTATGTCCATCTGCTCCTGCCTCTTCTTGCCGTATTGCCCTGGATGTTTAAAATTTAAAATAGAAAATCTCTTCATTTTTTTCCCGAAAAATTTAACATTCAATAACATGAATGTTAAATTCATGCTTCAATTATGTTTTTCTTTAATTTCTCAGTAAGGTGTTCTAGAATTAGCTCCATAATTGTGCACATTGCCACTTCTTTCCAGATCTTTACCCTTTGCCAGCTTCACTGCGGTCTTCTACCTCCACCCCCCTAACCCTCATTTCCCCCAGTCTTCCACTAGCAAACAAACCCAGCAGTAATTACTAATGTCCAAGCACGTAATTCTGGCACCGTTAGGATTTTTTTTTTTTTTTTTTTGACGCAACTACGCAGAGCTGTCTGGACATGCAGCATGAAGTCAAAGCATTTTTAAAGACTCCTACCCATCTTTTCTCCCCTCCTCCTATCACTAAAACACAGTTGTTTATTTCGTTTGCGGATTGCAAGGTTATAAAATTCTTCCATGGAGCTACATAGCCCTGAATATTAATATTACACCCATATACAGTAACAGATACATATGTACTTATATGGAAACACATAGGTTATCCATAAAATTGAAAAACATTAGGAAATAAATAGCTAGGAATGAAAGTACCTCCTCTATATGGACAGGACCATTTTAGCAGCTCTAGTATAGAAATCATTGGAGTTATGACTAACAAAAACAATCCAAGATCTTAATGTGAGGCTTTTCAAAAGATCATGACAGTGTTTCTTTTAATGCGTTGCATAGATTCCTACATATGACGCTGTTACTCTTATTTAACAACTATTCAAATAGAACAGTTTTGCGCCTGGTATTTTATGACAATTTTAGTTATATCAAACAACAGGAAATATTCCTTGGTAATTTTTGTTCACTCAGAGGCCCCAAGGCTCAGAGTAGAAAATGATTAAAGTACTTATCACTGTCTCAGCAAAATCCCGCAGTGCCGTAATAGAAATTGCAGTAGATCTTTAGGTCAGAGTCCAGTTTCAGTCTAACACCTGCATTACCCTGAAGGACATAGTTGGATTTTGAGGAAAACCAGTCTTAATAATGTCCAGATCAGAAACTATCGGCCTGAGATAACCAATGTTCTTAGGAAACACTTCCACTCCCTCTGAAACCATGGCAAAAGAGGCTAAATCTATACCTTGTAGGACCTGTAATATTTCTGAGATGTATTTTTGTGAGTGTGTGCTTATGTACATGCCTAATTACAAGGATGGGAGAGAAGGAAGAAGAAGAGGGCTTCATTCTTAAAGTTGATTCTGCTTAGTTTAACTATATATATATATATATATATATATATATATATATACACACACATATATATATATACACATCAAATAGAAATATATACAGAAATATATTACTCCTGTAAACAGATCATTTTGGTATCTTCATATATACCTCATTCATGCCCACCCAAGGTCTGCAGACAAATAAACTCTGTGTTAAAAACAAAACCAAACAAAACCCTTGATATCTGACTGGAGGATGAAGCAGATTTTCCTTAAAAATGTGTTTACTTTCTACTTAAAAAAAAAAAGGGACGAGGGCAACGTGAGAAGTCTGTAAGTAGACTTATTTCTTTTTTAAGCTATGCGGGAGCTGAGGACGGGAGCAGGTAATTGCCTGCAAAGCAGTCCTACGGCAGGATTTATTTTTTTCTTTTTTAAAATCGTTAACCTACTAGGTCTTCTCTACCAGGCAGTCTCTCTGTGAGACCGAGGTCTCAGAGAGGCAATTTGGCCTCCAGCCCCGAACAGCAGCTCTGGCCGGGCAGCTCTGCGGCAGGTAGAGGCGGCGAGGCTGCCGGGCCGCTCTCCGCGGTGCTGAAAGGTCGCGGGCGCCCGCGGGGGCCCCCGGCGTCGCTGTCCAGGGTGCTGACCGCGGGCCGCCGCAGTCCCCGAGGCGAGCCCACCCCCGCCAGCCCTCCGCAGAGCCCTCCCACACAGCAGGACCCGCCCGCCTCCCGCCAGCCCGCAGTCGACGTGGAGCCGGCGGCACAAATCAAGTCCGCGGGGCACGGAGGCTGCGGCCGCCGCTGCAGCTCGGCTTGCCCGGGGCGGGAACTCCCCCTTCTCTCGCCTCCCCGGCGCCCACGACCTGCCTTCTCCCTAATTCTTCCCTGGATAATAGCGCCTTAACGACAATAGTCAAAATAACAGGGTCAGAACGACAGAGTTTGTTTGTTTGGGTCTACAGGAAAGAAAAAAAAAAAAAAACAACCCAGCAGCCTCAACATCTCTGAAAACTGCATCGCAAAATGGAAGAGAGTCCCACCACTGTTTCGAAAGAGTAAGTTATTATTCGGCGTGTATCCTTGCGCTTCCTCCCCGTCGCTCCATCTGCAGTGTCCCCATTCCTCCCTTCCCCAAGCGGCTCACCTCGAAAATACTTTATAAAGCCCCCAGACCGGAGCTCTCCCGACGCGCACACACGGAATACCGCACCCTCGGTGCACAAATACTCGTATTTGCCCACGCTCTCTTGGTCTCCTCGGCTGTGGTCCCCTCTGGGTCTGCAGCCATCCAAAAGCAGAACCACGACCTGAGGTGGAGGCTCCTTACCTTGGCTTCTGCAGAGGGTGGTGCTCGCCTGGCCCCTTGCAGGGTGCAAGTGCGGAGGAGCCGCCAAGCCGGGAGGGAAGGAGAGACAGCGCCTGACCTCTCCGAGGTTTCGTCTTCAATGCAACGTGAGCTCTGCCCTCATCAAAGATGGCCGTCCCTTTGACGTCAGCAGCTTTTAATAGCCCTCTCCGGGAGGGGCGGGGAGGAAGTGTGTCGCGGGGAGGGCGGGGGAGGATGGGGGTGGGCGGTGGGAGGGGAGGAGCCGAGTAGTGCGGACCGCTCGACTCAGCTCCCGGTGCGCTCTACTGCAGACCTGCGTATTTCAGTCTTATTTTACAAACACCTGAGTAGTGAGGCGATTCTTATGACTCCATCTTAACACGTTTATGTCGGGCAAATGCATTTATCTCGCGACTGGCTTTCTGATGTTCTCCGTGTGTGTCTACCTTGTGTTATATCTGCGACATATATGCGATTATATAGAATTTCCCCTCCCCCTGCTGAGTTGTCTGGTTGAGTCATGGAAGGGGAGGGGAAGGCAGAAGAGTAGAAGTGGGGGAGGTAGTCGAGGGCACTTCAGCTGCAATTGGCTTTTTCTAAAGAAGCGGCTCCGAAGGGGCATCCCTGTCAGCCCTCACCAGCTCCATATATGGCCAGGCTACGTGGGCTGCTATTTTTATGAGCGATTTCTTCGTCTTATCAAAGCAGCACCCAGCGTTTAGAGTTTGCATTAATGTGGTCAGTTGGGGAGGCCGACTCGTACACGTTATTTTAAAGTACGTCAGAGCAATCATCTCTGAGAGATGTAAAATGAATTGGGCGGAGGGGGAGGGGAGGGTAGTGCACCTAACCAGCGTGGGTTTCCTGGAGTTCAAGGCTTGGAGTTGAGAGTTATTTGCTGAGGGCAAACTAGATGACGCTGTTTTCGGTTAAATATGCAACCAGAACCTGGGGTTTTATGTTGGGTTTCTTAGGGATAGTTCACGGAAGCGCGCACAGACCTTATGGAACCATCCAGACTTCCAAGGGGAGTGGGGAAGGCTGAGGATTCCAGGATCTCTGGGACGCCCCAGAATTTTGGTGGTTCACTCAGTGTGCAAACCTGGGTACCAGTCGAGGCCAGCCGAGGGGGGGGGGGAGTGCTCTGATGCTTAAGACGGCGTGGGCGAGAAAGGCTACCTGTGCTGGTCCTATGAGAGATTAAAAATAATAACCGTAAAGAAATAATCCTGACTGTCCTCCTTTGCTGTGCATTAGGCACCGAGGGCGGGCGGGTGGTGGGCTATGCAAATGGTTGCGCGGCGGCAGCCTCCCGGATGATTCACAGGTGCTGGGGAGGCTGTCGCGGGGCTCTCCGCGGGGAGGGCGAGCTGGAGAGCGCGTGGGAGGTGGGGGACCTCGGCTGAGGAACTGTTTGTACTTTTCCGGGAAGGATGCGATTAGAAGTCGTGCCTCGCAATGTTAAAACTCGATGGCCTCTTTCAGGCGATGGAAAATCCTTGTCTCGGGTCCGGAAAAAACAAGGCACAATCCCCAACCCTGCCAACATACACACACACACACGCGCACACACGCGCTCTGGCCTGAGAGCCAGGCTCAAGTTTTTTTTTTTTTTTTTTTTTTTTTTTTTTTTTTATGATAGTCACAGAGAGAGAGAGAGAGAGAGAGAGAGAGAGAGAGAGGCAGAGACACAGGCAGGCTCCATGCACCGGGAGCCCGACGTGGGATTCGATCCCGGGTCTCCAGGATCGCGCCCTGGGCTAAAGGCAGGCGCCAAACCGCTGCGCCACCCAGGGATCCCAGGCTCAAGTTTTTAACTGCAAGCTAAAATTGGAGACAATCCCGGGAAAAGGAAAGGAGGAAAGCAGAGTTGCAAAGGGGACTAAGTTTAGAGCCAGCAGAGCTTTAAGAATTTAATAAAGGATGCTTTTAATTGAAATAAGTAGAAGGCAATGTTTGTTGAAGATTCCCTGACCCAGGGATATTTTGAAATGTTAATATTTTTAATAATAATTAACAAATAGTGTTTGGATTTTTATTAAAGCAGGATTCCTAAAACAAGGAATGTTGCTGAAATTTGTTTACTTAAATATTCATTAAACATTTTTTTTTCATTAAACATTTAAGATTCTTATACAATAAAGAAGAAAAAGATCTCTATGGTCCTTAGATCCTTAATTGCCAATAAAACTCCTGGCAATGGTTCTCACTTTCATTATAAAGCAAGCTGGGGTGGGCTGAGAGAAGTGGTGGCAAATACAGAGTCACTACAAAATTCTTTATAGTCAGAATTTTGTTTTTTCCAAAATGTGACACTTATTTAGCATGTGGAAGTTTCTTGGAGAAAAGCCTGCAGTGGAGAGAAATAAAATATGTGTACGGTCCTCAGACTAAAGTCATTCATGCAGAAAGTTTTGTGAAAGAATGAAGGAGGTGGGGGATTTCCCAGATTAATAAATAATAAATAAACAAATAAATAAATAAATAAATAAATAAATAAATAAATAGATAAATGAATAAATAAATAAATAAATAATAAAATTCATCACTGATGTAGGTTCATCCTGCAGGCAAAAGTTATGTGGCAGTCACTGGGGAAGATTGGCTCCGTATCCTGAATTTTCGACTGCTGATGCCCCACACTGACATCTTTAAATATTACACGTAAGAGGAGAGAGTCAGACTGATTCAAAGCTTCACAGAAAATACCACAGGCCCAAAGGATTATCTCGTGGTGGTGGCAGCATTTTCCACTTTCCTGTGCTTATGCTGAAAATGACACTGTTTAGGGGTTTCTTCATCTTGCTCTGGGAAAGATAGCAGAGTCTAATTTGAGAAACCTGAACACTGGATAAATATAAGTCCACTAAGGATGACCAGATAGCCCTAAATGTATTTTAAATATGATAATGAGATTTTTCCCCTAGGGTTTATTCATTGCTTCATTAAAAAAAAAAAAATCCATAGCCATCCTTGCCAGTAGGAAACCAGCAAATTCAAGTTATTCAGGCTCTATAAAGACCTAAACCACACAAAGAAGGAAGATGATGGAAAATTTGCTTTGAAATGATTCAGCTGCCTATGAGTTATTTCCACAAAGAACCAACATGTAGAGTAACTAATCCTTAAGAACCCATTTGATGAGTAATGAGAAAATTACCTGCTCTGCTGGATGGATATTTACACTATGCTAATTCAGTCTCTGAAAACTTTTACTAGTACATGCCCCAAAGTATTCTAGTTTGTAATAGTTCCAGATCCAGGTATTTAGCTTGTATTTCCCAGGTAAGGTGCAAGATGCATGATTGACTGAAAAATGATGACTTCAAAAAGTATAATAACAAAAATTTCTTTTTAAAAATTTATTTTCATTTATTTGAGGTGGGGAGGGGCAGAGCAAGAGGAAGAGAGAAACCCAAGCAGACTCCATGCTCAGCGAGAAGCTCAATACAGGGATTCCATCTTAAGACCCTGAGATCATGACCTGAGCTGAAACCAATAGTCCGATGGCTTAACCAACTGCACCCCCAGGCACCCCAATAAGTTTTCACAAAACTTTCTATCATATGTTCTTTCCAAAGTCCATTTTGCAAGTAGTTTAGCTACTTACTCAGCTCAGAAACCCCCTCTCCAAGGTCCACCTTTGGGATATGCATGACACCCTATAACGATATTTCAAAAACACCATGAGGGCACAAGGCTTGGGCACAGGAATATGCAATTTGACAAATCAACTGTTTTGATTCCTTGGTTTTCTTTCCACATGGCTTGTTTACCACTTTTTCTTTAAATGTTCTTCTAGCCCTTAACCCAGCCCCCACCCCATCTACAGGTAGTGAATGAATAGTACCTAGTGAAAGCTTAGATGCTCCCCATCTAAACTCCCCCGATTTTCCTTGTTCCCTAAAGCCACTAAGGTAGGGACGTATCTTGTGAGAGGTAGAAAAAGAACCAGGAATATCCGTTTCTGTTTCTGGCTTGCTATGGAGAGAAGAAATAAAACTATACACCCAGAGTTTTATTTATTTTTTTTTTAAATTTTTATTTATTTATGATAGTCACAGAGAGAGAGAGAGGCAGAGACACAGGCAGAGGGAGAAGCAGGCTCCATGCACCGGGAGCCCGATGTGGGATTCGATCCCGGGTCTCCAGGATCGCGCCCTGGGCCAAAGGCAGGAGCCAAACCGCTGCGCCACCCAGGGATCCCATACACCCAGAGTTTTAAATCACATTTTGGTTTTTACTAAGAAAAGCACTGTAGGAAAGGAGGAGAGTGCCCATTAGCCAGAGGCTAGGTGCTTCCACACTCCTGTTCCTTAATGCATCAAAATTATAGGCTCTCTTTTGTACATGGATGCATCCTAGAACCCTCTCCAATGCCAAGACATGGCTGTGGTCAAGTAGGAAGGAAGAACTCGTGTCGTCAGTCAGGGATAGAAAGACGGAGAGCATGGTAGTCAAAATTAGGAAACCTTAAAAAGGCTATTTGGGAGGGATCACAGAATTCCTTCAGTGAATCTTTTCAGAATCTTCTTGTTCTGTCAGCTGTCTGTACCTCAGTTATCTCATAGGTAAAATGGGGACAATAACTATAACCAACTCACAAGGAAATCGTGAAGCACTTAGAATCATCATGTCTGACACCATGAAGCATTGGTTAAATAAATCAAATCGATCAATTTGATGAGACTTTTAACTTTCTCTAAGTAGTGATACATAATTCTGCTGCTTTAATATGGAGAGTCGTTTTTTGTTTTTTGTTTTTTCATTAGCTTCTAACTAGATATGTATAATTTAATTCCTCTGGGCCTTGGTTTCTTTATCTGTATTCATTCATTCGTTGACTCAACATCTAATAAATGGTACAGCTGGTATTTGAATCCCATGGCCCAAGTTCATAATCGTCATGCTTTAGTACAGACTCTTCTAGCACCATCAGTTTATCCCCTCTCTATTAGTCAGGGTACTCCAGAGAAAAGGAAACAGAACCAATAGAATATATACACACATACATACACACACATATTCTCTCTCCCTTGCCCCTCTCAGTATATATATGTACAAAAAGACTTATTATATGCTCACGTGATTATGGAAGCTGATAAGCCTCAACATCTTTAGGGTGAGTCACA